AGATTCAATAGGAATTTTAGGGGCAGTGAGGTCACGGTCATGGGAGGGAGGACAACTCAGAATGGGGGGAGCGGCACGAGAACGGACCCCCGACGTGAAGAATGTCATGCAGGGGTGCGACTCCTAGAATCTGTGGCATTGGAGGATGTCCTCTTGTGTGCATTCTCCACAACAGGAACCACAAAGAAAATACTCTCTAAATATGAAAACAATAAAAACCAATCCAACTCTCGATCCACGCTCCACATCTTCCTCAGGTGGGTCTTTCCTGGGGTCTCCAAGCCCCCAAGGAGCCATTTCTGGTGCGACCCTTGGTCTCTCCACATTCAGGGGGAAACAGAGTGAAGAAAACTGAAGATAAGTGGCAACAATTAGTCCACATTTCTGGCAGATCCCGGGAGCCCCGCCCTTGGCCCTGAGATCAGAAGAACTAGATGGTGCCCAGCTACCGCCACTGACCGCGCCCAAGGTGCCACAGGAGGACCTCCTGAGGGCTGGTGTGCAATGCAATGAACGATTGAATGTGGCTCTTCTAGCCAGAGCCTGTTACCTTGCCCAGACAACCTTCTCTTTCCCTTCCCTGATGGGTGCAGGGAAGAAGGTGGTGGGAGCTACTGATTGGGTTATAGGGTTCAGCTGTGAGAGAGTGGACCAAGGTTCATTGTGAACACCATCCTGCTCGGTACAAAGTCTCAGAAGCAAGAAGGTGGGGGAATCACGCCAGCACCAAGAGCCAGGAGTGGAGCCCATCCTTTGGACCCTGAAATCCTGTAGAACGAACCTCTTTGGCACCAGAGGAGCAGCAGCAGCAGAATCAAGCCCCGGTTGTGTGTTGATACTATTGTAAATAATAGGGTTCAGAATTGACAAGACAGCACAGCACCTAACAACAGGAATCCCTCCTGAAACCTTCTGCAAGGCCTTTGAAAGGATAGGGTCTACCCCCACCCCCACCCCCCCTTGCCTTTTTGAAAAAAAACTTTGCCCTAGTTTGGGCTGGTTCATAGGTTTCAGCTCTTTTGTCTGTTCTAATCCATTGTTAATGGCTGCCTGGAACTGTGTTGAAAGGGATTCAGGAAGAATGAATGCTGTGATAGATTAGTGATGCCTGGCCTGGACGTGGGGCGGGATAAGGGGCCTTTGCCGTTCTTACCTTCCCAGCTTCAACAACCTCCCTTTGTGCTTTGTGGTATGGTGGTTACAGGTTGGGCTGCTAATCCTAAGGTAAGCAGTTCAAATCCACCACCAGCTGGTCCACGGGAGAGAGATGCGGCTTTCTTTCTTTTTTTGATGATTTTAAACACTCATATTTTTGTATTATTTCTCAATGTCAGAGTTCTCGGTCAGACTTGCAAGCGCTTTTAAACAAGTCCTTGGCAACCTCCAAATTATTCTTGGTGACCTTGAGATCCCTGTGGGCATAGTCCTGAGACCAGAGGGCATAGAAAAATAATCACCTTTGAGATGTGGCTTTCTACCCTTGGAGGTGGACGGACACTGTGGCTGCACTGATGGGATCAAGCCTGGAGGACAATTGTGAGGATGGGACAAGACCAGGTAGCACTTTGTTCTGTGGTACACTCTGGGTCGCAACCCACTCGATGGCACCCCGCCAACAAACTGCGTGAGAAAATACATCCATGAAAGCCACGCACTGGTGACATTTCTGGTTCAGCAGCCCTTGAGAACTGAGCCCTAAGGTTACACCCCTTCATTCTGCTGCCAGCTCTCCTACTACACCTGGGATAACCCCAGACTCCTCACCACCGAGCCCTGACGAGTTCTCCTCGCACTACCATCAAGTCGATTCCGACTCATAGCGACCCTAGAGGTCAGGGTAGAACTGTCCCTGCGGTTTCCTAGACCAGAACGCTATTTCTTTCATCCAGGAGCTGAAAGCCCCATCTTTCTCTGTAGCTGTCCCCTGGTTCCTCTTGCACAGGGTTTCCCAAAGCAGTGCTACCGCCCCCTGCTGGGAGATGCTGGACTGATGGAGGGGATGCCGCCCAAGCTGACCCCAGTGGGTTTATCCTGGATGAGGGCACTTCGTACAAACGTTCTGAATTGACAGCAGAGATGGCGGAACCATTTTTGGTCCTGAACGGGGGAAGCAGGACAAATAAATTTGTGGACCTACATCTAGCCTCACCGTGTCGCTCCGGCCTTCCACTCCCTCCTGTACTTCCTGTGCCCTGGCTCAGCAGGCTCCTCTCCTGGTTGGTGGGGGGCAGGGAGGGGTGGGGAGGCAGAGGAGCCCCATCTCCGTTCTCCCCACGGTGACTGGTGACCACACATCCTGTTGAGGCTTTCTGAGCAGCGACCAGGATCTGAAACTGCTTTGTTTGCAGGTTGACAGTCTGGCCAGGCTGCAGGGTCAGACCCACGTCCTTCCACCAGTGGGAGGCCTGGGATCTTGGGGATCGTCAGAAAATATATGCTGAATGAATGAATACGTGGGCGAGTGGAGCGATGAGTAAACGGGGCCCCTGTCTCATTTAGGTGTGTGCAGACTTGGAGAATGGAGACAAGGTTGAAGTTGTCAAGGATTTCATCTTGCTTGGATCCACAGTCCATGCTCACGGAAGCAGCAGTCAAGAGATCACGATACGAATTTCATGAAAATGATGAGGGCAATGAATGTACAAGTGTGCTTTACACAATTGATGAATGTATGGATTGTGATAAGAGTTGTATGAACCCCTAATAAAATAAAATAAAATTTAAATATAAGTTGCATTGGGTAAATCTGCTGCTCAAGACCTCTTCTTTAGAGGAAAGAACTAGAAGGCAAAAGACATTTATAGGGATGTATATAGGGATGTATAGATGTAAACATATTAATATGTAACAATAGGAATATAGGTCTATGTACAGATATTTATATGTTAAGTATTAAGGTGGACACTGGGCCTCTACTCAAGTCCTCCTCAATGCAAGAACACTTTGTTCTAATAACCTGACATTCTGTGATGATTACCTTCCCGACAGAATCGATAAACACAAAATAGGTGCATAAACAAATGTGGTGAAGAAAGCTGATGGTGCCTGGCTATTACAAGATGTAGCATGTGGGGTCTTAAAGGCTTGAAGTTAAACAAGCAGCCATCTAGCTGAGAAGAATCAAAGCCCACATGGAAGAAGCACACCAGGCTATATGATCATGAGGTGTTGATGGGATCAGGGATCAGGCATCAGAAGACCCCAAACAAATAGTCATATCGATGGGAACAAGGGGGTTCAGAGTGGAGACCCAAAGCCCATCTATAGACAATTGGGCATCCCCTCACAGAAGGGTCACAAGGAAGGGACGAGTCATCCAGGGTGCAGTATAGCACAGACAAAACACACAACATTCCTCTAGTTCTTTAATGCTTCCCCCACTACCCCACTATCATGACCAGTTCTACCTTACAAATCTGGTTAGACCAGAGCATATACACTGGTACAGATAAGAGCTCTTGACATGCGGAATCCAGGACAGATAAACCCCTCAGGAACAGTAATGGGAGCAGCGATTCCATGAGGGTAGGGGAAGGTGAAGGGGGAGAAAGGGGAACCGATCACAATGATTGATGTATCAGCGCCCCCCTCCCTACCCTGAGAGGGACAAACATCAGAAACGTGGGCGAAGGGAGACAGCAGATGGTGGAAGTTATGAAGATAATAATTTATCATGGGTTCCTGGGGGTGGTAGGGGAAAAAGAGGTTCAAGTAGAAATAAAATGTTTTGAAATGTTTTCAAAGGTTCAAGTAGAAATAAAATGTTTTGAAAATGATGGCAATGTATGTACCAATGTGCTTGATACAATCGATGTATGAATTGTTATAAGCGTTGTAAGAGCCCCCGATAAAACGACGTATTAAACGAAAACAAACAACTCTTTAGAGTAGTGAAGAACACGGATGTTAGTTTGAGGACTAAGGTGCCCCGAGCTAAGCCATGGTTTATCCTTTGCAGGTGAAAGTTGGACATTGAAGAAGGGAGACTGTAGATGAATGGGTGCTTTTGAGTTGTGGGGCTGGAGAAGACTACTGAGAGTACCATGGACTGATAACGGGACAAGCTGATCTGTCTTGGAAGAAGTACAGCCAGAGTCCTCCTTAGAGGCAAGGATGGCGAGACGTCTTATATATACTTTGGACATGCTGTCAGGAGAGACCAGTCCCTGGAAAAGGACATCGTATTCGGTAAAGACCAAACCAAACCAGAGTGCATCCACAGAGTCAATGCTGACTCGCAGGGACCCAATTGGACAGAGTAGAACTGCCCCTGTGCGTTTCCCAGACTTTTCTGGGGGTTTCTTTCAGACGAGCATTTTACAGAAGTAGAAAGCCCTGTTTTTCTCTTGAGTTGGTTTCAAACTGCTGACCTTTCAGATCACAGCCCAAACTGGGAACCACTCTGGCTCCCTGGTAAAGTCGAGAGGCCATAATCGAGGAAGGCCCTCGATGAGATTGATTGGCACCGTGGCTCCAGCACGGGGCTCCAGCACGAAACAATAGTGAGGAGGGTGCAGGGCTGGGCAGTGCTTTGTTCTGGTGGACATAGGGTTGCTATGGGTCAGAACCACTCGATGGCAACTAACAACAACAGTCTGACGGCTGGGAAGGCAAGGTTATAGAGAGCAATGGTAGGGAATCGTGGAATATTTGGGTGGGTCACATCATGTTTGGCAACCACCGGCTGGCTCCCCCTTCCCCTTCCCAACCCTGACATCCTTCTGTCTGCCACACGGTGGTAGCTGGCATGTTGCTGTGAGGGCAGAAACTCTGTCCTCAGTCTTTTAAACACCAGCAGAGTCCCCCACGGTGGTGTCTCCAGGCTTAGGTGAGACCAGGAAGAAAGGCCTGGTGATCTCTTTCTCAAAGTCAGCCTAACTCAAGCTCCTGCTGAAACCCCTTCAGCAACACGGAAGCCCTCCAGGGCTAGACAGGGTCGCCGTGCATGAGTGTGTGGGATCCTGGGTCTCACACATCGAAGGAAAGCTCCCACTGCTGCCCTCTAATGGTCTCTCATCTGATACAATCGCCTGCCACGATGCCATCCAAGGAGCCCTGGTGGCGCTGTGAGTGAGGCGTTTCGACTACTAACCGCCAAGGTTGGCAGTTCAAACTCACCTTGGGAAAAAAAATCCAAGGCTGCTATCTCCCAGAAAGATTAGCACTCTCAGAAAATCTGTCAGTCTGAATCGACCGAGTGGCTGTGGTTTGGGTTTATAATGTAACCTGAAGCTCTCACTCAACACCCTCACTACCCTCTAGTCTATTCTGACGCCTAGCGACCCCTACAGGACATGGTGGAACTGTTGCTGTCGGTTTCTGAGACTATAATCCTTGACAGGAGTAGAAAGCATATCTTTCTCCTGGGGAGCGGCTGGTGGTTCTGAACTAAGTTTGCAGTTAGTAACCCGCTACCCCACCAAGGCTCCTCATGCTCCCAGCTTCCCAAATGCAAGGGAAACATCATGTAACCCATCCATCGAGGTAGAGGGTGGGTCCCAAACCTAATGACTTTCTGAGTTTGAGGAAGAGGAGGAGAGACAGAGACACTTGTTAGAGAAAGGCACCAAGTTGGTGGCCTGGGGCCAACTAGGCAAGCATCCAACATCTTGAACTGAGGGAGGAAGACAGTGCCTGCCCTTCAAGTGGCACCCCCTTCCCCCTTCTGTGACCCAAGCACCGGGAGACAACGACCTTGGGGCTCCACTCCTCCACACCTTTGTCCTCCCCACCCTGCCCCAGGAGGGGCAAACACCCAAGGGAGAGTAAGGGAAGGAAGGAGCTGCCCCCAGACCTCATAGACGGCCAGGTCGATGCCCGCGTAGGGGATGATGCCCAGCACGTTGGGCAGGTAGCCGCGGTAGAAGGCCCGGGGCCCCTCCTTCTCCAGCATCTGCTGCGCGCAGTCCCGTAGCCCTTTGTACTGGCCCGTCCGGCGCAGGGTCAGCCTCGTCTTCAGCACCTGGGGAGAGCCGGGACATTGGTTATCCCCAGCAAAGCTGCCCCTTCCTGCCGAGTTACTCCTTGTCAACCAGGAACCCTGGAAACAATTCGATTAAAAACCACTAACCCGTGACTCTCCCACTGCTCCTGCAGCCTCTGTACCCTGAAATGGCTAAGGCTGCCGGGATACTCAAAGCAGCTGACATCCTGACATTCCAACTGTCCTCTGCTCTGTCCCTTCTCCCTCCATCCCACCAGTGCTCACTGAGTCTATCCTGACTCCTGGCCACCCCCGGAGACCTTGTGCTCCGTAGGGCTAATGTTTTGAAAGCCAAGTAGATGCCAGGGGCCCTGGGCTGGACTTGAACCACCAACCTTTCAGGGAGCAGCTGAGCACTTCAATCATGTCTACCCACTAGCAACTGCCCCCTTAATGGTCATAAAACCAAGCAAAAGAAAACCCCGTTGCTCTGCAGTTGACTCCCGCTCCTGGTGACCCCATGCGTTACAGAGTAGAATGCACTTGGCTCCCATCACCAGGCCTTTCTTCTGCAGCACCACTGGGAGGGTTTGAACCAAAGACCTTTGGATTCGTAGTCAAGCGCAAGCACACAAGTATTAGAATGACGGACTACATTTCCCAGATTCCCTAGGGTTGAGCCACGTGACTCAGTCTTGGCCCAGTGAGACAGACTGGGACCCTTAGGAGGACATTCCTTCCTTAAAGGCACAGTATACGCCCCTCCTTTATGTCTTCTTCCTTCTGGCTGGCTGGAAGGTAAGTGTGACCACGGGGCCACAGGTGGTCATCTTGGTCCACGAGGTGGAAGCGCTAAGTTGGGGTGGTGGAACGAGGTGATGGACGGAAGGACCTGGGTCCCTAACACTGAAGCCGCCATGTCCATCCTGAACTGCTCACCTCCATCCCGATTTCATTTACTGGCTTTGAGGTGGCTTTTCTTTTGTCTTGGTCACGTTCATAGGTTAACCCCCACGTTATACATCCTGAAACTAGAAGTGATGTTCTTTGAAGGCAGCTACGAGAGAGAGAGAGATGCTTTCTCTGGGAGCAAGTACGCTGAACCAGCCTCCTCAGATGACATGTATCTGCAAACATCTGACTCCAACCACCGTCCACACAGTTATAACCAATGTCCTGCCCTGGTGGCGAAGCCGGCTAGGCGTTGGGCTGTTAACCTCAAGGTCAGGAGTTCAAAACCACCAGCCTCCTCTTGGAAGAATGATGAGGCTTTCTGTTTCCACCAAGTTACAGCCTCAGAAGCTTATAGAGGCAGGTCTCCCTGCTGTGTATGTTTGCTAAGAGTCAGAAAGGACTCCTGGCAGTGGTTTGTTTGTTTGTTTGTTTGGTTAGCTTGCCTCCAGGTGGAATTCTCCCCTTACAAGTGGGAAACCCAGGTTCCATGCTGAGACAAGGCACCTCCTGAGCAGCCGCCACCTGACAGTGGGGCTTGATGCTGGACAGGGCTCAGCAGAGCTTCCATGCCAAGATAAGGAAGAAATGCCTGCCAGCCAATTCTCCCAAACTGTAAATGAGACCCCTACGGATCACAGTGGGGAAGGTGTGTGTAGCAGGCAAGGCTTAGCTCTGTGACTCCGGGGTCGTAGGGGTTGGTGCCACCTAGTTGGCTCTCTCTCTCTCTCAGGATCACCTCTCTCTCTCAGGAAACCCTCCCTCCCCTTGCCACACTCCAAAAGGGAGCAGGTACGCAGGCCCCGCCCTGCTGTGGGCCCCGCCCCCTCCTCACCTCCATTGGGTAAATGATGGTTTGGGCCGTGGCGCCTGCCAGGGAGCCAGCCACGAAGCGCTCCTGCACGCGCAGCGTCTCCTGCTGCCCGCGGATGGCCCGTTTGATCTGTGGGTCGGAGGCACACGTCCCTTTCACATCCATGTGCCCTGCCCGGGCCACTACCTGCCACGCCCAGGCCTCCTCGCCCGCCCCCACCTGCTCGTAGGCCATGAACTTGATTGCTGACTCTGGTGCGATCTTGAGGACGTTAATGCCATTGCCCCGCCACAGGGAGTGGACACCGCCCTCGCGGACCATGCTCCTCAGGCCCCCCAGGACGTCCAGGCGGTTGGTCTTGGAGGCGTGGACCTGTGCAGGGAGACAAGTGGGCTGGGAAGGCTCACGCAGGCCTGGGGAGGGGGCAGGTCTCTCCAGGACCCCTCACCTGCATGAAGACTTTGAGGCGGTCCAGGGGGGCTGTGCCGGTGCGGGACACAGCGCCGGCCACTGCGCCGGCCACCAGCTGCTTCCACCACATGCCGCTCTGCTTCTCCTGCTCCGAGAACTCGTCGGGCACTGTCAGGCACTCACCGATGTCTAGGACCTGCGGGAGTGGGGGTCCGTCACGTCACGTGGGGGTGGGGAAACTGACCCCACCTAATCACTCAGATCTAGGACCTGTAGGGGGACTTGACCCAACCCCACTTTATCACCCACCTCTAGGACTTGCAGCTGTGAGTTTAACGCCTTTTGGGGATGGGGTAGGGGGTGGGAGGGGGGCGGTGGTGGCGGACACAAGACCCTGGCGTCCTCTGGGTTCTAGGTCACCCCAGAGTCCAGGGATGAGTCTTGCTTGGAGAGGCCAGGAGCATCCCTTGTGCCCTCCAGCTCCCACACAAAGGTCCCAGTATCCCTTCTGGGGACCCCACAAATCCCATCGAAGTGTCACCTTAGTGTCCACCATGTGCTGACCTCTGGGTAAACCCTCCACCCCCAAGGAAGATTCCAGAACATTCTCCATGACGACACACTCTCCCACCTGAGTCCTCCACATGAGGATGGGCAGATCCCTCCCGTGACCTCACTGAGATCTCCACCCGGGCCACGCCTCCCTTACAGGTCCTCCAGTTTCCCATAAAAGCCCCTCCCTCCAGGGACCCTCTGGGATCTCACTCTGGATTTCCCCAGAACCCACTCGACCCTTGAGAGGTGATGGCTCTTCAGAGCAGGCATGATCCTCAACAAACCTAGCGGAAGCCAGGTAAAAGGGCGGGGTGGGGTGGGGTGGCGGGGGGCACCCCAGCACTCCACAACCTGCCTTCAAGGTCCCCCCAGGGCACACCCCTTGCAAAGCAGAAGGGCCCCCCAGTCAGAGAGCAGCGACTGGCTCCAATGGGGCTCCTGAACTCCACAACGGGGAGAAACAAGGGCCCTGGGCCCCGCCCCTCCAAGCCCAGGGGAGACACAGGCAAGGCGGGCGGGGGGCAGTGGCCCTCACTCACCGTGGAATGTTTCCAGAAATAGACCACGTCCTCCACGTTCTCCAGCGAGTGCAGCAGGAAGTGGTCTCGCCATTCCTGCCAATCGATGGTCATCGTGCCATCGCGGTCCATGCTGGGGGCAGAGGGGGTGGGCAGGGGGCAGGGTCGGGGCTTGGTGAGCCATGGCTCGGGGCGGGGACAGCACCGGCCAGCATGCGCCTGGATCTGTTTTAGCGGCCCTGCGGCCCTCAGCTCCCGGCAACCCCATGTGATATCATTAAAAAAAAAACCAACCTATCTTATCATTCCATGGTTCAAGCAGGTCAGCAGAATTGTATACTTGCGACCACAATCCATTTCCAAACATTCTTTTCCAACACGGGGTCCTTGGCATCATCTCTGCTTCACCACCACCCCTCCACCACTGTACCCCATCGCCCCCACACCCTTACTCTACTTGCTGCCTCTATAGGTTCATCAATCCTGGGCTTCCTATAGGAATATGGAAAAATGGAACAACTTCAAGAGGGTGAGCTCCAAAGAGAGGACACCTCTGAGATACACCCGAATAGGGACAAGTGACCAGATCAGGTCCCCCAGGGGGACCCTACTGACAAAGTTCTCACTGTTCAAGTCAGACTTAGGCCTTTGATCTTCTATACTCATTTCTCCCAAACTCTCTGTTTAGTAACCACTTTCCTCCCATCTCTCAATTGTAGATAGAGGGATGTGACATCCTCTTTATGCCAGCGGACCGCCAGGCCTTTCTTCCACGGAGTGGCTGGAGGGCTCGCAGCGTCAGCCTTTCTGTTAGCAGGTGGAACGCTTCCCCACGGCCGCCACCAGGCGTCCACAGGCACATACTTAATGCTGTGTGTCAAAGGAGCATTGTGCTCTGTAGGGTTTTCAGTGGCTGACTCCCACCCCCACCCCCCACTGTCCCCTGAGTTTTGTAGCCAGGCCTTTCTTCAGTGTCACTGGGTGGAGGGGAACTTCCAAGCTCTGGGTTGGCAGCTCAGCCTGTTCACCATTTGCTCCACCCAGGAAGAATGCCCAACCCACAGGCATTCCTCGGATTCCAACTCCTAACAGTCTGAGGTAGAATGTGTGAGAAGATAACTCTTTAGGGATGTAGAAAGCCTTTCTCCCAAGGAGCAGTTGGCGGGTTTGAACCACCAACCTTGAGGTTAGCAGCCCAATGCCTAAACCACAGCACCACTGGGGTGCCTCACACACCTACTACCAATTCTGATTCTACTAGTTCTAGTCCTAGCTCAGGAGCCCTGGTGGCATCGTGGTGACATGTTGGGCTGCTAACTACAAGGTCAGCATTTAGAAGCCACTGGCCATGCCGAGGGAGGAAGATGAGGCTTTCCGCTCCACAGTCTCAGTGACCAACAGGGGGCAGGCAGTTCTACCCTGTCCTGTAGAGTCGCTTTGAGTTGGCATCCACTCGAGGGCAGTGAGTTTAGTCTTGAGTGAGTACTAGTTCTAATCGTACTTCATGGGTTGTCCTTTTTTTGGTTCCTCGTGACAACCTGTTAGGGAATGGATTGTATCTCCTCCCACGCCCAGTTTAAAAAAATAAATAAAAATACTGAAATCCTAACCCTTGCTTCGGCTGTATCAATGGGACCATGGTTGGATATAGGATCTTTGTAAGCCCTGGTGCTGTAGTGGTTCTGAGCTGGGCTGAGATCCTCAAGGTTGGAAGTTTGAAACCACGACCCGCTCCTCATGAGAAAGATGAAAGCTTTCTACTTCTGTAAAGAGTTACAGCCTTGGAAACCCACAGGGGCAGTTCTACCCTGTCCTGAAGGGTGGCTGTGAGGGGGCAAGGGAGTTGGCAGGGAGTTGGAGTTTGAGCTTCGATCAGTGAAGTCCCACAAACTCTGGTGGCTGTAGTGGGCTTCAGGTGGGGCTGCACACCTCAAAGTCAGCTGTTGGAATCAACCAGCTGCTCCGTGAAAGAAAGATGAGGCTCTCTACTCCGGTAAAGACTTACAGCTCGGAAAGGCGTATCGGGCTGCGACGGGCTGAGATGGATTCAACAGCAGAGTTTGGGTTCAGTTACATTCACAGTCAGGGACTGGCTGGCAGAGGGTGGGTCCCCGTCCCATCAGAGTGACTCTTTGGGAATGAAGAGGGAGGGCCGGAACCTGGGAGGAAGTGTGCCTGCCATGTGACCCAGAGACCAGGGCTGCTCGACCCTCCCAGAAGCTGTCGCAAAGGCTCCAGTGCCATGACACGGCCGTGACTCCACTGCCCGGCTTTCAGCCTTGGGCACTATGAGCCACGAGCGAGGCAGTTCTGCGCCTAGGCCTCAGTGTATGGGGTTGTGCGTGGCAGCCCCAGAGGGATTAACAGGGCAGTGACGGTTCCATGATAGCATCCTCACCAAGACCGCCCCCTTGTCTACCCGTGAGTGCAGCCATGTTGACAGGAGACTGAACGGGTTTCAGGGGGAGCGTCCTGATGAAGAGAGACTAGGAAGAAAGGCCTGGTGATCAACTTTCGAGAATCAGCCCCTGAAAACCCTCTGGATTGCTGTGGTTTGATCTGCAACAGATCCTGTGGGTGGTGTGGGAGCGGGCAGCCTTTGGACTCACTGCACAAGGGATCCCGTGAGTCTGAGGCCAACTGGATGTCAACCGACGACAACAAGAAACTGGTGCAGCGGTTGCCAGGGCAACCCTATCACCCACATTGTTCAGAGGAAGAAACCGAGGGTCAGAGAGGTGAAGCTATTGGCCCAAGATCTGTCTGACTCCCACATCCCTCCCCTAGCCCCCACCCACGGTTACACCTTCCCGGAGGTGGAGGAGCCTGAGGTACATGTGTTTCAGAACCCCAGCTACTCACAACTGGACGAGACAGCATCATGATAAACAGAGGTGAGATATAGTCCCGTTAAGATGGCCCTTCCAGCCAGAATTCTGAAAGTGAGGTGTTATAATTCTGGACTCCAGCCTGTGGTTTTGATCCCATTTTGCAGGGTGTTCTCTGCTGTGCTAATGCACAGGATTAGGGCGGGATTAAGTAAAACCTGACTTAGTAGAGAGTGTACACCAAGTCCCACCCTTTTCCCTTGAGGACATTTTTAAGACGAAAGTGCAGTGCTTACAAAATGGGCTGCGATCCACCAGGCCCGCAGTTTGAAACCACCAGTCGCTCCATGGGAGAAAGGGAGCTTTCTTTCAACTCCATCAAGAGGTACACTCTCAGAAGCTCACAGGTGCAGTCTACCCCGTCCTACAGGGTCTACTGTCGCTGTGAGCCGGCATCGACTCGATGGCAGTGAGTTTGAGTGTGGAAGTAGGGAGTATGACTTAAGACACCACTACTATATATACTGATGTGGGCACAAGCATAGGAACAATTGTGAGGTGCAGGACTGGGCAGTCTTGCATTCGATTGCAAGTCCTGGTGCTTGTGCATGGGGTCACTGTGGGCTGGGAGCTTCGTGATGGCTCCTAACAGCAACAGTATGTACTGGAACCACAGTTCTAGCACCATCGCCTCACCTGGAAAGTGACCTCTATCTCCTGGCTAAGCTTTGGCAGAAGCAAGAAGATCTGCTATGACATTTGGACATTTTTGGCTTCTGGCCCCTGTGTTTGGCTTGCCTCTGTCTGACCCTTGGATTTTGGACGGAACAGCCCTCACTACCATGTGGGACATTTCCTCAAAGGTGTGAGTTTCTGTGGGATGTTGCAGCGAATCAAAGAACCCAGAGATGTGGGGGGCACATCTTCAAGGGAGGAGTAGTGGGGTGGGAGTGGGGAACAGCACTGAATAACATCTTGGGAGAGCTGGATATGTGATATATTTTTAATCACCAAGCCCTTGTGGTGTAGTGGGGTTACACGCTGGCCCACTAATCACAAGGGCACCAGTTCAACCCCACCAGCCACTTCGTGGGAGAGAGATGAGGTCTTCTACTCCAATAAAGAGTTACAGTCTCAGAAACCCACAGGGGCAGTTCTACCCTGTTCTGAAGAGTCACCATGCATTGGCATGGATTCAATGCAGGGAGTTATTTATTGTTTGTTTGGTTTGGTTAATCACCAACTCCTTGGGGCTAGTCTGGTATGGAGTCCTCTAAAAGAAATGATCGCCACAGGAGAAAAAAGTCGAAGTTGGCAAGGACTGCATTTAACTTGGATCCGCAGTCAATGCTCATGGGAGCAGCAGTCAGGAGATCGGATGGCAGGTTGCACTGGACAAATCTTCTGCCCGAGATCTCTCGACAGTGTTGAAGAGCAAGGACGTCATTTTGAAGACTAAGGTGTGCCTGACCCACGCCATGGTCTTTTCCATTGCCTTGTCTGCATACGAAAGCTGAACCAGGAGCAAGGAAGGCCCCAGAAGGATCCATGCATGTGGTGGGATGAGCAAGGAATAGTAAGGATACTAGGGACTAACCCCAAGACAAACAAATCTGTCTCGGACAAACTCCAGCCAGAGTGGTTCCTTAGAAGCAAGGATGGCGAGACTTGGTCTCACCTGCTTTGGATATGCTGTGAGGAGAGACCAGTCCCTGGAGAAGGACATCTTGCCCTGGACAAGGTGGAGGGACACAGTGGCTGCAACAACAGGTTCTAACATAAGAACAGTGTTGCCTTCTGTTTTACATGGGGTCGCTATAGGTCTCACCTGTGCAGAATTTTCTTGGCCTGCTCCAGTGAGATGGAAATGCCCAGCGCTCGGAAACTCTGCTGGATTTCAGAGACGTCGATATGACCTGCAGAGAAGACCCCAGGTGGGGTTAGGGCTCAAACGGTGCCCTCCAATCAGCTCAACTAACGTCCTCACCCCTGGTACCTCGGATCATAACCCTGTTTGGAAATAGGCTCTTTGGAGATGTGACCAGTAAATAGGAGGCAGGCTAGATGGAGTAGCAATACCCAACTGCGCTTGTCAGTCCTGCTGAAGGACTTGCTGTAGAGTTGATTCTGCCCCCTAGCGCCCCCGTGTGATAGAGCGCAGAACTGCTCTGTAGGTTTTCCTGGGCAGCTATCTTCACAGGAACAGTTTGCCAGCCCTGGTTGGTGTAGTGGTTACACATTGGGTCAGCAGTTCGAAACCACCAGCTGCTTCTGGGGAGAAAGATAGGGCTGTCTACTCCTGGAAAGAGTGACAGTTCTACCTGGTCCTATAGGGTTGCTAAAACACTGACAGTGAGTCCTCAGGACTCGTAACTTTTTCAAGTCTGTAAAGCTTTCTGGAAGGGGACTGTCGAAACTTTCTCCAGAGGAGCTGGCTGGCTGGCTCGAACTGTGTAGCCCCTGTGGTCAGCGGCCTGACCTCTGACCTCCTACACTACCATGGCTTGCTCTTAGGTTAGCAGCTCATCGCCAATGACTGGTTCCACCCACAGAGGGTTCCGAGTCTCCTCTTGACAAGACAAAACTACAGAGGCAGAGACAGGTAAGGAAGGTCGCCAAGGGAAAACGGAGGTCCCGACTGCAGGGCTGCGCCAAGGGACCCCAGGGGCTTGGAGAGGCTGGAGCAGCTCTCCTTCTGGAGTGTGTGAGCACCCCACCAACCCCTGGCCCCTGACCTCCAGCCTCCACGGCCTAAAGCAATGAACCTTTCCTTTCCTTAGGGTGCCCAGACTGTGAGGAGCAGCAGCCCTGGCGGCACAATGTCCAGTGTCCAGCAGGAAAAAGTCCTGGCCATCAGATTCTGTAGAGGAGACAGTCTCCGGGACACCCCCCCCGCCCCCCTCCCCGGACCTTCTACTCTGCCACATGGGGTCACTCTGAGTCAGAATCCTCTCACCAGCGCCCAGGAGCCATAATAACTTGTAGGGTGTGGTAGTTACATAATCTCTTGTCAATTTGAGACTTAGGAGTAAAGGGGTAGAGTTTAGCCTATCAAATAGGTTGCAGCTTGATGACCTCATTTGGAGGTGCTAAGAAAATAAATAGCTCTCTGGAGGTGGGACGGGACTCAGGCTTTCTCCCTGGGAGACATTCCTGTTAAGAAGACACATGGAGCTACACTAGAGCCAATGAGCCATCCCTGACGGCACTGAGATGCTTCTACTGCGTCTGGATCCACAACACTCCCCATCCATTGGCCCATGATCTTCCTGCATTCAGCGTCATTGCATGTGTTGCGTGAGCCTGACGAGGAACTTACAGACTTGTATCGGACATATGGGCTAATATCAGACTTATGGACTTGATCTGGACTGGGCTGGGATGTTTTCTCAATATTCAATCGCTCTTGTATATAAAGCTCTCTCTCATACACATATGAGTGTCTCTGGATTTGTTTCTCTAGTCAATCCAGACGAACACACGGTGCCTTTGTTAACAGCAGCCCTGGAGAACCCATACATGGAGCTTTGATGGCGTAGTGGTTATGTGTTGGGCTGCCGACTGCGAAGTCAGCAGTTTGGAACCACCAGCCGCTCCACAAGAGAAAGACGAGGCTTTCTACTCCCATAAAGAGCTGCAGTCTCTGAAACCCACAGGGGCGGTCCTGCCCCATCCTGTAGGGTCGCGGTGAGTGGGAATAGGCTTCCGCAGCAGGGACTGAGAGTATGCTAGAAATGAGCAGGATGGTGCAGGAATAGGCAGTGTTTCCTGCTGCCCTGACTGGCATTGCTGTCTGTCAGAACAGACCTGACAGATCCTAATAACCACCCCAACGTTAGAGAGAGCAGTCAGTACCTCCGGGTGACCCAAACAGCTAAGCCCAACCGCTGGCCTTTCGAAACCCACCCAGAGGTGCCTCGAAAGACAAGCCTGACAATCTGCTTCTGAAAAGGTCACAACTTGGGGGAAAAACCAACCAAACCCTTTGGAGCAAGTTCTCTCCTCCCATGCAGCCATGCAGGGTCACAGAGGACTCGGGGCTCTCCGGAGGGGACCGAGAGGCAATGTGAGGGACCCAGCAGAAGAGGGGGTTGGGTGAGGTGTGATTCTATAAGGACTGGAGGAGCTGCATAGGGACCTTTGTCTCTGGGGAACACACAGGGGTGTTGATGGGGGTGGGGGGCAGTGAGAGAAGAGGAGGGATGGGCTGGCTGGGTTTAGAATCGCTAGCTGGGGGTGGGGGTGGGGAGCACTCCCAAAATAGCGGGTGAGTCAATGGGAGCAGCAGCCTCTCTCCCTCCCAGCTCTGCCCAGCATGCCAGCTCTGTCCCTCTGGTGGCTGGGCACCCACGGCCCCAAGCCCTGCCCAGAAGCCTTGCCCTACCATCCTGGTTCCGGTCGAGACTGTGGAACATGAGTAGCAGGCGCTGTTCCCGCTCCTGCAGGTAATGTGAAAATTCCTCCAGGTCCAGCCCGGCCTCAGGGTCAGCATGGTCCTCAGGGGTGAGGCCCTGGCACAGGGAAGGGGGATGCAGAAAGGGCTTCAGGGGGTGGTGGGATAGGGGCTACAACCAGTCACCTGTTTCTGGAGTCCAGCCCCCCCCCCCTCCTGCACCTCAAGTCCACTTCTCAGCAAGATGCCCAAGGCCACAGCAGGCCTGGGGGTGGACATGAACTGCCTAGTTTTCTGCGAACTGCAGTGCAGGGAGGTCAGATGGCTAGTTCAAGGGCACTGAGCCGGGAAGTGATGGCCTTGGGCTCTCAGCCCTCAGGCCTGTCCTTCCAGCTTTTATCAAAACTCATCTCTAGGCAGGAGGGGCAGGGCAGACCCAAGCTAAGTGACTCTATGTCTAAGGCTGTGGTTCTCCGACGACCTGGCAGACCCAAGCTAAGTGACTCTATGTCTAAGGCTGTGGTTCTCCGACGACCTGGAACAGGAAGGACGGGTTGAAGGGGATGCTACGGAGCCTCACCAGAGACATGTGGGGCTACAGGTGCAGGGCAGGCACTGCAGATGGTGGTGGGGTCCCTGCCTTGATAGATGCGTCCCCAGGCAGGGCAGCGGGGGTGGGGGTGGGGGCACTGCACTACATTCAGGAAAGGGCAGGCGAGGGAAAGTAAACAGTGGCGCTCAGCTGGCTAGGAGGGTGGTGGGTGCCCAGTGGGGGGAGGTGGAGGGTGTGTCTGCAGGAGGTGGAAGCACTTTGGGGCAGCGTGGAGAGTCCGGAGAGTGTCTGTCCCAAGCAGGGGGCAGGGGAGGGGACGGCTTCATGCCCCGCCAGGCAGCCTCATCTTGCTGGGGGTTCGGGCTGCAGCCCGCTGTACTGAAGATTTGGGGCTTCTGTGGTCCTGTCTAGGCCCAGACCTGCGTAGCAGGGGGAAGGGGACAGAGGCGCTCAGGGTGCACACAGGTCCTGGAATCAGGCCACAGGCAGTCCCTAGCGGCTCAGGGCGCTCCATCCAGGGGCTCGGGTTACCCGGGGCCGAGAGCTGAGCGCCCTGCGCGGGTGCCAGCGCCAGTACCTGTTGGGCGTTGCGGTTCGGGTCGCCCCCACCCAGTCGGGCCAGTCCCTGGCGCAACTCGTGCACGTCCACGCGGCCATCCTTGTTACTGTCCAGCTCCTCGAAGAGGCGCCCCCAGCGCTGCCGCCGCTCCGCGTCCCCCGGGCTCCCCCGCATGGCGCCAGCCCGGGGGGGAG